TGTTCAAGTGTTTGGATATTTTGTTTAAATCTCTAAAATCTGCAAGCTTCCTATGGTATGTAGTTGCTTAAAATATTTTGGTGCTTCCATTGCTAAGCCTGCACTTGGGTATATTAAAGGGATATTGAGGATGCTGTAGCTTTTAGAGTATAATGCTAAATCATCTCTAAGCCAAAAGTATAATATTCTATAATGGTAAACTTATCTCTGATGTCTAGAACATGCAACTTATCCTGTGCTCATTTACATAAGCTTGAAAAAGATCATGTAAATATTAGAATTAATAGGGTTTAAAAAGCTCTTATTAAATTAGCTTGCCATTTTTTACTGTATTGAAACACTGCTGGAAAAAAGTTGGTAACTTAAAAAAAAAACTTTTATATAAATCCAAACTGCACAGAATCATCACCATCATCCAAGAGACAATGACTTGGGCTAGTTATTTCATTTTGGTTATTACTGGTTAAAAATCTGTTGTCAGAAATGTAGTAAAATATTCATAGAGACTAAATAAATAGAAATCAACTGGGCAGGAAATTCATTGGCCTGATGCTTTCTTGCTTAACCACAGCTTATAACTTTCCTGCCTTAATATATATATATATTTTTTAAATTTGATTTATATGCCGCCCTTCTCCGAAGACTCAGGGCGGCTTACAATGTGCTCAGCAATAGCCTTCATCCTTTTGTATATTTATACAAAGTCAGCTTATTATTATTATTTTTAGTTATTATTTTATAATAATAATATTATTATTTTTAGCTGTTTGAAAACAGGATTCATATGCTTTCAACCCCAGAGGTACAGCACAATATTAAAAACTAAATTTATAACTGAGATTCTCAAGTTTTCATCCAAACAACTGAGATTCCACATTAATAATATCTAACAAGTGTATACAGTAAGAGCTCAGTGACTTCCTGATCTGATCCTTAGCAAATGGGCCCTTTTAAAGGATCCCTACTAAAAATTGTTGCTTTATATTATGGCACTTTGATGCATGGTCCCTTTAAATTAACGCCTTTGGTGTCAAGATTACTATTGGTAGACTGTGAAAAGTCAGATATGGAGAAGGTTTAAGAGTTCTTCTTTAGCTTGTAATGTTCAGCAAATAGGATGATAGTCTGGATGAGTAGGAAATGAGTTCCCCCCCCCCTATGGAACTGGATGGCTGCTTTTTAGATCTGAAAAGGCACGAATCCATAGAAATGAAGTGGTTTATTTATGGAGGAAAAGTCAGACCTTCTAGGCAGAGCTGCCTTCTAAATAGAGAGGAAACCAAAGTCTACAAAGCTCCTAGGTATCAGCCCCTGAAACACACATTAGCCCTGATTGGTCCTGGTCTTGCAATAATCAGATTTGGAGACATGCGAGCAACCCCACCTTTAGAAGTACATGGATTCCTCTGAGCCTGGGAACTAGGCAGTCCTGAGTGAGAGCCCAGGAAAGGGAGGGCTAGAGGGTGATATCTCAAAGGAACACAGCTGATCTGGCAAATGTTTTATACAATGAAATGGAGGGGCAGAGTTCTTATTATGGTTGTTACCCAGAAGAGTTTAGCCATGGTTCTTTATGTGGAGTCTGTGCATTTTCTCTCCTCTCTGCGCTCCCCGTCCCTTAACCCTTGCACTGTTTTATCTAAAGCAGAGGTCTTCAAACTTGGCAGCTTTAAGACTTGTGGACTTCAACTCCCAGAATTCTCCAGCCAGCATAGCTGGAAGTTGAAGTCCACAAGTCTTAAAGCTGCCAAGTTTGAAGACCTCTTATCTAAAGAGAAGATGTAGTGTCAGCCTCCTTTTCTCTCTGCAAATGTCACAAGTCTGTCACTAGCAGCTCTGTCACAACTTAGCAAAAGAAGTGGGAGATGGCACAAACCTTTTCTACTGCTCGCAGGAGAAGGAAAGGCCTCTCTCTTGAACTTGCTTTGAACCTTTGTTAAATGTTTACATCAAATGTTCATCCCTTGAGCTTTTCCAGTAGCCACCAAAAGCAGCTTATTGGTATACCAACTAACCTGCTTGACTTTTTTTTTTTTAAAAAAAACGACCATGCAATCTCTTGCTTCAGAGTGGGGTCGGGACAAGTGGGCGGAGCTGTGTGTTTACTGGTTAGATGCCCTTCCTGATGCCTATGCAGAGTTTGCAGCAATTTTCTCTTTGCATCCTGATTGAGATTTTCTTGTTGACAGGATACCCCATCTACCTCTTGTGTGTTTCCAATATATTAATTTCCCCAGAAACTAGAAAGGAAGAGGGCCATCTGCTCAGTGGCTACTGCCATCTTATTCTGTGTCTTTTTAAAGACTGCTGCTTGTAGCTTTTGACATCAGATGATGACTGTTTTCTTTCTATTTTCAATTTTAGATTAGTTATATTGGACAGATACTTGGCTTTTAGTCTCTTGGGGCAGGGGTTCCCAACTTGTGGGCTGCGACCTATTCACAACTGGGCTGTGTGATGGTGGGCTGGTGCACAGGCACCGGCGCTTGCAGCCCTTCTGGTGCTCGCGGTGAGCTCTGGCGCTCACAGCCCCACTTGCATGAGGGGGGCACGCATGCACCTGCCCCTCATATAAAACCATCCCCCTTTCTCCCTCTCCCCCCTCCATGCCGGGCCACAAACCTGGAAAGGTTGGGGAACACTATCTTAGGGTATTTTTTTTTAATTCTGTGTTTAAGATTTGATAAGTACTTTTACAGCTTAGTGTCATAATACTTCCTTTAGTATAGTCCTTCAGACTGCTCTAAGTTTTTAACTGTGCCGTAAGCCACAAAACACAGTGAGGCAGAAATATAAATTTCAGTGATGCCCTTGAAGTGATGTCCCGGTGCCTGGAGGCCGTGGGGGAGAAACAGGCTCCGACTCAACCCTTCCAAGACCGAGTGGCTGTGGCTTCCGGTGTCCCGATATAGCCAGCTGGTGCCATCACTGGTTATTGGGGGCAAATCACTGGCCCCCATGGAGAGGGCTCGCAACTTGGGCGTCCTCCTGGATGCACGGCTGTCTTTAGAAGAGCATATGACGGCCGTGGCCAGGGGGGCTTTTTATCAGGTCCGCCTGATATGCCAGTTGCATCCCTTTCTGGATCGGGACACCCTACGCACGGTCACTCAGGCACTCGTCACTTCCCGCCTGGACTACTGTAATGCTCTCTACATGGGGCTCCCCTTGGGGTGCACCCGGAGGCTCCAGTTGGTCCAGAATGCAGCCAGGTGGGGGATTATGGGAGCGACGGGGCACTCCCATGTGACACCTCTCCTGCGCAAGCTGCACTGGCTTCTGGTGGTCTTCTGGGTGCGCTTCAAGGTGTTGGTGACCACCTTTAAAGCGCTCCATGGCTTAGGGCTGGGGTATCTACGAGACCGCCTTCTGCCGCCAATAGCCTCTCACCGGCCAGTTCGCTCGCACAGAGAGGGCCTTCTCAGGGTGCCGTCAGCCAGACAATGTCGGCTGGCGACCCCCAGGGGGAGAGCCTTCTCTGTGGCGGCACCTGCCCTCTGGAACGACCTACCCCCAGAGTTACACACGATAGCAGACCTCCGGACTTTTCATCAGGCCCTGAAAACACATCTATTTCATCTAACCGGGCTGGCTTGATTCCATCCTTTCGGTTTTAATTTGAAATTGGTTTTAACTGGGTTGTTTTAAATTGAGGGCCGAAATTATTTAATGTCTTTTAAATTGTTTTTTAAATTTTATATGTTATGTTTTATCTTGGCTGTTCACCGCCCTGAGTCCTGTTGGAGAAGGGCGATATTTAAAATCAAATAAAATAAATAAAGAACTGCCTTATAGTGAATCAAATCATTGACCTATGTGTTTCCTTGTGGCTTCTGTCTGTATCATGTTTTACCCATAGTGAACTTAACCTAAGTTTATGGATTTAATCTAATTTTGGGGATTCAGTGAGGCATGAATTCACATAGGCTTGGTCAACCACAAGTTAAAAGTGGCAGGTTAATTTAAATTTGTGTCATGAAAAAATAGCTACTGAAGGGCCATATTAGCTGCAGTGTTTTTAAACCTAGACTTCAATGTTACTTTGGACACTACTACTGGATTTTCTGACCTTAGAAAACTGTAGGATCACATGTCCTTAAATTGATCTGAGTGCTGTTGTTAGTTAAATAATATACACAGATTAGGAAATTAATTCTTGATTTGCCTTAGCTATTAGCCTTCTATGATCTAGATTTAGGAAACAACTCAGGAGAAAGTGCTGAGTCATTGTTCTCCCAAATAAATTGTCTTCCAGATTTTTGGAGTACAACTTTTCTAAGCCTCAGCCAGCATGGCCCATGATTTGAGGGTGGGGGTGGGGGTGGGTAAAGTTTCCGAGAGCCATTAAGCTGAATAAGACTTGATGCATAATATTCAATCACCCAGCTCTGTTACTTTAATAAACTTGAATGTTCTCATAATTAAAAGTTCTAAATTTAGCTGTCCTCTGGAACATGTAGTTTGACTGGCATGGAAAAGTGCTTTTAAGAAGTAGAGCTGTATCAAATAAACCTGGATCCTTGGCTAACCCTCCCACTGTAAGCATTTCTATCTTCCCCAGTATTTCTCAGGGTAATAATCAACCTATGACAGACACCTTTAAGAGCCTAGTAGTGCTCTTAAAGGTACTTGAAGAAGTGAACCAAAGAGGCCTAACTAACATGGTCATAACAAGAATGGAATTAGAGAGACCTCAACGTTTTGTATGGGCTCCAAAATTCTGGCTACATAACCCTTCTAAAGGTTACCATCATATTGTAATGTTTAATATGACACAAGGATTAAGGGAAAATATTCATCTGGACAGTGTTTATTTTATTCAGGTGTAATAAGCCCTACTTTGTCTTGGTTGTGTCCAATTTGGTGTGTGATCCTTGATACATGATCCAAAGGCCAAGTAATGATTCTCAGTTGCAAAAATATTGGATATGTCTGGAGAAGAAAAATACTAAAAATATCAGCATTTTCATATAGACACGGTATCTTTTCTTTTTCTTTAGTTCTTTCCTGAAGAGCCAAGAATATTTGCCATCATTCCATCGTGATGGCTACACCCAGGACACAATTGCCATGTCTTTGGCTTCTTGTGCTTTCCATGACAACATGTTTTGCTCAAGGGACTTCACCACCACCATCTCCACCACCAGGATGTGGCAAGGACTTGAACTCCATCTACTACAACCTCTGTGACCTATCTGTCGCCTGGGGCATTGTGTTAGAAGCCGTGGCCAGCTTTGGTTTTGTCACCAGCTTTGTCCTCACTGTGGTCTTAGTGGCCAGCCTGCCTTTTATCCAAGACTATCGGAAGAAGAGCTTAATAGGGACTCAAGCTTTCTTTCTGTTGGGCACTTTGGGGCTTTTCTGCTTGACCTTTACCTTTATTGTCAAGCAAGACTTCTCAACATGTGCTTCACGACGCTTCCTCTTTGGTGTCCTCTTTGCTATCTGCTTCTCCTGCCTGGCTGCCCATAGCCTCAGTCTCAATTTCTTTGCCCGGCAAAACACTGGGCCTCGGGGATGGGTCACCTTTGGCATGGCTTTTGTCCTCGTCTTGGTTGAAGTCATCATCAACACTGAGTGGCTCATTATTACTGTGGTAAGGAATGATGGTACTGCCAAGGATCCCTGTGACCTGAAGAACGAGGACTTTGTCATGGCACTCATCTACGTAATGTTCCTGCAAGTAGCTACTTTCATTGCTACGTGGCCTGTCTTGTGTGGACATTACAAGCACTGGAGAAAGCATGCCGTTTTCATTCTCCTCACTACTTCCTTTTCCATGGCCATCTGGATAGTATGGATTGTTATGTATGTTTATGGCAACCAGCAGGACCAGAGATCAACTTGGGATGACCCCACATTGGCAATTGCTCTTGTCTCCAATGCCTCGGTTTTTGTTTTGTTTTATGTCATTCCTGAGATTTCTCAGGTGATCAAGCCAGGACCAGAGCAGGCCTATGAGGATGATGTCTACCCCACACGGGGGGTTGGCTATGAAACAATCCTCAAGGAGCAGAAATCCCAAAGCATGTTTGTGGAGAACAAAGCTTTCTCAATGGACGAACCTTCTTCAGGTAGGCATGTGATATTGGTGAGGAGACCAGGAAAAAAAAATGTAATCAGAGGAACTGCATGCTTGCTAAACATATCTTAACATGTTTTTATGTAGACATGAAAATGATTATAGGTAGTCCTTGATTTACAACCACAACTGGGGCCAGAATTTTCATTGTTAAGCGAAGCAGTTGTTAAGTGAGTTGTGCCCAATTTTATGGCCTTTTTTGCCACAGTTGTTAAATGAATCATGGTTAAGAAAACCTGGCTTCCCCCATTAACTCTGCTTATCAGAACCCAACCAGGAAGGTTGAAATGGCAATCCCAGGACACGGGGTGGGGGGCGGTTTGGGTGTGCGTGTTTGGAACTGTCTTAAATACATGCCACATGCCAAGAACCTTAATTTCCATTAAATGATTATAGGGTACTGGAACAGTAATAGGTTTGAGGGGTGGTTGTACGTCACTTTTTTCAGTCCTGTTGTAACTTCGAATGGTTTCTAAACAAATGGTTGTAAGTCAAGGACTAACTGTCCTGAAAAATTATTTGCTCTGCTTCTCCCTTCCCCCACTTTTAGCATAATGTTGCCTATGGGTAGATATGATAGTCATTGGTATCTGTGACCGAGCTGGAGAAGACCAGAAAAATTGATGCATCTGGTGGTGATAGAGAATCAGGTTTACACAACTTGTTATCTCAGGGTCTTCTGTTATGGTTGCCTGAATTTGTAGATTCCCAAGAGTCCTGGATATCCTGTAATCTGTACAAGAATGGTACTGTCATTGTGGCACACATTTGGGGCAGGGAAGTTAGATAGCATTGATGCCATATAATTCTATTCTATGATCTTATAACAGTTCTTGGTCTCCTCTAATTTTGTAGTTGAATTTTCTAACACTGTTGGACAGTAGCTCAGTAGATGGAACAATATTTTTTCATAGCTTCAAAACTCAGACAGGTTTGCTAAATCTGAGCTGCTCTACTATTTGGTTTTCTGTCTTAAAATTTATATGTAGAATAAAATAATAAAGTTTTACGGCTGTATTTTATTGGACGGAAGTAAATCTATTGGAGTTTATATCTAAGTTTATACAGTGATAAGTGATAAGTAAATTTATTATGTGTTTACGAGATTTCTAGGCTCATACCTTCAGAAATATCCCTATATTTTGAAATGGCCAGAAGCTCTTCCTGCTGAGAAAGATAGAAATGTAGTACTATAAATAAAAACCAAGATATCACATTAAAACTATTTTCAGCTAAGGTAAAATCAATTTAGAATAGCACATCCAGTAGCTGAGTTCATCTTTTTATTTTATATGATTTGAGGAGAAACCGGGTAAGATCTGATGCAATGCAGGACAGAACCTGTTGATTATGTATCATATACTGTACAAATGGACTCAATATAATAAGGAAGATTTATTTTAGGTACATGCGTCAGTTTGAAATTATGGTCATTGGCTTACTGATTACATCAGCCATATTACTAAGGCTGGAGAGAGCTGAACTTCAGAGCATTAAGACAACCAACATTGTCTCTTGAGTGCCATAAATCCAGATGGATTTTCTTGTTCAGAAAAAGTCTCCAAGCACCTTGAGCTCATTAAAACTTACTTTGTCTATAGTTACCCACAAACAAGACTTTGTTTTATGGGTGGCTTATGAAACAAAAGTCCCAGTAGCTTTTTGATGGCTTTTTCATTGGAGTGCATTGAGCAGACGATGCTAATAAGCAACAGCAACTCACTGGAAAGAATTATAGATGTGTGTTTATACAGGTGTACTTGTAAGAAAGGATACCATTAATTTGGGGAAGAGCTGTAAGGGTTTAGCTTTTTTAAAAAAGTACAGTAGTGGCCAAAATTGTGGAAAACTTTTGGGAAAAGTGTATTTTTGAAGTTTGATGGCTAATAACACCACTCTTTTTCAAGATAATTATATTCCACTCCTGGAATGGCCTGGGAATAGCCCAGACCTTAGCCCAATTGAAAATTTATGGAGCAGACTAAAGAAACTTGTTAGTCAGAAGCCATCCAGCAATAAAACCCAGTTAATAGAAGAAATCATTCAATCTTGGTTTCACATTATAACAGCTGCAGAACTAAAAGACTTGGTTCACTCCATATGATTCATGCTAAAGGTTACCCAACTAAGTATTAACTTCCATGGTGATAATTTTTGTATATCTCATTTTTTCTACGTCTTTCACTTTTTTATACTGTAAATGCTATTCTAATAGCAAATCCTTCATAAAAGTTACTGCATTAGATTCTTAATTAAATTATCTTTCCATTGATATATAGTTTTATGGTACTACTCCAAAAAAAAAAAAAAAAGTGGTGTTATTAGCTAGATTTAGAAAATACACTTTTCTCAAAAGGTTTCCACAATTTTGGCCACTACTGTATATACGTCTATACAAACTTGTGACTTTATTTGTTTGGGTCTCTCTCGCTCTCTTTTTCTATTTTTATCTTTCCCTGCTCCTGGAGCTATAAAAGTACCTGGACACATAAACACAGTATGCTAACATTTTAATACACTATACAGGTAGTCCTTGACTTACAACTGTAATTGAGCTCGGAATTACAGTCATAAGTCATGGTTGTTGTGAAGTTGGGGCATCCTGTGACTGCATTCAATTTTACAACCTTTTTTTTTTTTTGCAGCAGTTGTTAAATGCCATGGTCATTAAACAAATGCTGCAGTTGTTAAACACAGTGGTCATTAAATGAGTCCCTTTTCCCTAATGGGCATTCTTTTTCAGAAACCAGAAATATACATAGGAAGCCAGCAAAAAAAAAAAAAAAAAAAAGCCAAAAGCTGTGGGATGCTGCAAACAGTTGTTGAGATTTTGTCCCCAAAATTGCTTTTAGTATAATCTTTCTCTTATTTCGCATGAAGCCCTACAGTCTCAGGGGGAAGCTTTCTAATAAGGCTGTGCTAGAAAATTGGATCTAGGACAATTTAGCACCATGGTCAACTTGCTGCGGTACAAGACTTACATTAATATTGAAGAAATTGTGGAACAGAATCATTAAAAAAAGGATGCAAAAGGCCGGGCAAAATAGAATGTGAATGACAGAAATTAAAATAATTTCTAAATTATTTTAAATACTTAAAATTGAATTGCTAAATTGTCTCACAATTGAGTTGTCCCATGGTGAATTGTCCTGAGATAAATTGTCCTGGGGTGAGTTGGCCATGGTGAGTTGGCTGCAGTAAATGGACTGCATCAGGTTGTCCCATTCTGAGAAAATCAACATAATTTTATATTTAGATAACAAGTTATCTTATATAAGTTATTGCCCAGCATTCTTCTCCAGAGCTTGCCATTCAAACCATGCTATCTAGTTTTGCTCGTGAAAATGTTTCGAATAGTGTATTTAAATGTTATTGTCCTGTGGTTTCTCTCTTTCCAGCTAAAAAGCCTGTGTCCCCATACAGCGGATACAATGGGCAGATTCTGACAAGCGTCTATCAGCCCACAGAGATGACTTTAATGCACAGTGGGCCTGTAAGTGAATATGCGGTTGTGCTGGCAGCTGCTTCTCCTTCTCATCTTGCTTATCTGTAGCTTAATTTGTTGGGTAGTAGGCTTAAAACAAACAAATCATGTTTATAAAAGATGTTAGAAGAAGTCAAGCTATGCTTGACCAGAAAAATGAAGGCTTGTCTGAGATGTTAAATCCAAAAACAATGTCAGGTATAGGTTGGAAAGGGCTCATCAAAAGCAGGAGTGATTTGAGGCAGGGGTGAAATCCAGCAGGTTCTGGAGAACCAGTAGTGGAAATTTTGAGCAGTTCGGAGAACCAGTAGTGGAAATTTTAAGTAGTTCAGAGAACCGGCAAACACCACCTCTGGCTGGCCCCAGAGTGGGGTCGGAATGGAGATTTTGCAGTATCCTTCCCCTGCCACGCCCACCAAGCCACGCCAACCAATCCATACCACGCCCACCAAGCCACGGCCACAGAACTGGTAGTAAAAAAATTTGGATTTCACCACTGATTTGAGGGTATAATCCAGTGATGGCTAACCTTTTTGTTGTCACGTGACAAAAGTGTGCACGTGCGCGTGTGATAGCACGCATGCCTGCACCCATAATGCAATACACGCCCCCCGCACATGTGTGCGCAACCCCTGCACTCCCCCCCCATGCATGGGTGTGTGACACCCCCCCCCGCCCCGCAGCCCGTTTTGGGCCTAGCAGGCCTCCCTGCAGCCTCCTTACAATTGAACTGTAATTGTTCAATTACAGTTACTCTCACCACAGTTCAGTTACTTTCACCTGAGTTGATGTTGCCTACATTAATTTAGTGCCTCAGGTGTTTTCTGTGAGAGCCAGCCCTTCTCCAGCAGTTTTTGAAGTTTTGAACTTGTACAATTAAAGAATCAAGAAGCTTAAGGGTTCAGGAAGGTTTGAAGCCTTCAGTTGTGGGTCTAAAGTAAAATGGTAGAAATTCTTTCTGAATGGTGCCCTTTAATTTTTAGAAGTGGTTTACCTTTAAAATGTCTCAGTCTTCCTTGTTCTATTCAATTTTATCCTGCACAATTCTAAACCTACATCATAGTTACAAGATCTAGCAAATGTCAAGGCTAGTTTGACAGACCTCAGTGAGTCTCTAAGCTTGTAACTATGTTAGGAAATGAGAAAATACAAGTGAGGGGCTCTTTGGTGTTCTCTGAGCTTGGTTGTTCTCTTGCAAATGTTTCATTACTTAAACAAGATAAGCATCATCAGCACTAATGATGTTACCTAGTTTGGGTAATGGAATGTTTGCAAGAAAACAACCAAGCTCAGAGAGCACCAAAGAGCCCTCATTTCAACCCTGAGCTACAAATATTCTCCTTTATTGAGAATATAAGCCTGTGAAAGCCTTTTTATTGCCTTAAAATATTTTGGCATCAGCAATACTGGTTTGGTTTTTTTTGCAATTACAGTCACATTTCCAAAAACATGAATATACTTTTTACCCCATTTTTACTATTTACTATTTTTGTGGGTTCCAGTTGGATGCTCCGTATGATGTCATCCTCCCTCGTGCTACGGCCAACAGCCAAATGATGGGCAGTGCCAATTCTACCCTGCGTGCTGATGATGCTTACGTCTCACAAAGTAAGCAAGCATTGGCTCAGAAAGATGGAAGGAATGGGCAAGTGAGTGAAATGGTAAGCCTTGGATTATTCTGTTTTAATTTTAGGAGCATCTGAATTCTTATCTGACCTTTTCTGCTTATATGCTTTGGGTAAAATAGATCAGTCTGTCTCTTTCCCAGTTACATTCCTAATGTAAAGGACCTAACCTCTTAATGTCTTGTTTTGCCTTAGGCTTCATCTCCATATAGCAAGCACAGATGGTAGAAGTTTTGAGTCCTGATCTCCGCACATCCTGTTCCTTGAGGTTGCCTTACAAAGCCTGCCTCCACAAAGGAGCATCTAACTGGGGCAAGGCCTCAGATAGACATGGAGAATGGAGATGTTATCCTGGGAACTGAGAAAATTTCATCTTGGTTGCTGAGGCAATGCATTTCTTTTTCTCATGCATAAACCAAGCGTTCTACTTGACATCTGTTACAGTAAATCTGACCCAGTAAATCACTGGGTCAGGATGCCACCTCCTGTTCTGTGTTTCGAACAGTGGGCCTTCTATTCTCCTTGGAGCCTTCAGTCAAATTTATAATTCCACTTCTGTTTTGCCAGTATTTTGAGAGCCTCCCTTATTTTCACCCCACCAATCATGGGGCCACATTCAGTGCATTGAATCTTGTTCGTTTTGTACAAACATGGCGTTATGAGTGCTGAGGAGTTCCACTCTACAGATCACAATTCAGCCTCTTGTTTCAGGAATAGATGCTTTCCTGCATCCTCCCATCTCATGTCTACTCCCACAAGAGAAGGTTTTGGAAATTAGAAGGGTATCACTCCAATTCTTCTTTAATAGAGGCCATTCTTCTTAACGGAGAGAGTGAAACAGGTCAAATGTAGCAAGAACTTTTTATTTGAAGCCTGTTTGCTTTCTCCTGATCCTTCTTGCCTTTGGACCAAGCCCTGGAATGTGACATCATGGTATTGTTTTTGGAATCCTTATTATCTCCTCTTCTGTTAATCCCTCCCTGTTATGAAAATTAAGGCCGCATATTTTATTTTATTTTTTTAAAAAAATGCTCGATGTTTTACTTTGAATGCCTGTGTTTATGCAGCAGGGAGGATTTACTTTTACACTGTGGTCAGAGTCTTAAACATCCTTATCTGACGTTGACAACCAAGTTGGTGATTGAACATGCTGGAGGCACCAGTGGACCTGAAAGGAGGAAGCTATGTTAAAATGATACTTTCATTTCACAACATATAAAATGGTGGGATTTGCAAGACTGATGTCAGTAACTGTTTTGTCAAAAAGGTTCATTGCCGATTGTGCTTTCAATATGGGTAAGCCTTCCTTAACTTGATCTTCTCTCAACCTGAAGGACTACGACTATCATCCCAACCAGAGTGGGAGTGCAAGATAACTGATGGGCCTAGATGGGGGGGAAAATGCAGATCTATGAAGCGCAAGTGAAGGACTTTAATTGCAAGGAGAGGCCAGAGAGGCAAGAGATGGGTGGTGTTATGTAACTGCACAAACTATTTCAGTGTTAAAGGGTTGTGTGCTGCTGAAATGGAATTTTGCTAGGGAATGGATGCCGTCAGGCTTAAAAACATCTGGGAGTGGCAGTTTCACTACAGAAACATAATTGTCTCTTTTTGGCATTACTTATCTTGCTTTACCTTGTCCTCACCAGGTGAGGATGAGTCACCTCCATTTAGGATATTTTATTGTGCTGATTTATCCTTTCTCATCTTTTTTGTTCTGTTCCTTGTGGAATTGTTCAGGCTCTGGCTTTACTCTGAAACAACAACTTTCCCCTGTGTAGAGTGGTCTCCCAGCCACCTCTGATGAAGTGGGTTCTGAGATGCACAGTCTTACGCCTCAATAAATCTATTTGATATGCCTTCAGTCCTTTTCATGATATCCCACTTTCTCTTCATGCCTTGGTGTGCTAGTTCCTGGCTTGTGGCCTGCCTGTCCTAATGCTGCTGTTGTGTGCCATTTTTGCCTCTTCTTCTTCCCTCTTGGGCAGAAAAGGGGTGCTGTTTCTCTCTCATATACTAGCAGGAGAAGGAAGCTACTTTGATAAAAAGAAGCGCTGCCTATTTCTTGCAATGCCTTTTCACCAAGACTTCTGGCCTCCTAGATTGATGTCCTCTGAAGTTTAGCCTGCTTTTATTGTGTAAGCATTTTGAGCAGGTAAATTTTTTTACAGACTTCTCCAAACAAGGAGCCTTCAAATGTGGCGGGGACAGGTGACTCCACGAATGTTCTTTGGGCCATCTTCTGATCGGAAAGGTGTTCTCTACTGCCTAAAGGAGGACCAGACCCTGCCTGTAGAGTCTGTGCTCAGGAAGTGGAAGGACCAAGTTTATACTGACTCAGACCATGGCTAGTCGCTCATTGAGTCATGATTTCTGCCTGTCTTGCTGAGAATGCTGTTCTGTACCTTGCTAGAGGATGAGTCTGCTTCTAGTTTTTGGCTAAAAGATTCTCTGCTCTGATAATGAGGAATGATATAATCTCCCTCTGCTAATGCAAGCTGAGTAAATGGCAGAAGACTAAGGAGGAATGTCCCCGACTGCTGTTTCATCCACGCTACTCTTTAAGCTGAGATTGGGGAAGTGGTTCTTATCAGATATGGCTTTTTAAGATTCAGAATTGTCTTGACAAATTAAATATCTTTTTTTCCTAAATGTGGCTTCTGACTTCTTGTCTTGTCATATTCTTTTGTGGGTTTGAGAACAAAGGAGGAAGAGTTGACAAAGAGAGTTGACAAAAATTACAAATATTTCTCTTCTGTGCATTTCCTAACTGATGGATTCAGCTGATTAATAGGAAGGATTTGGACTTCCCAGAACATTGAACTTGATTATTCTATGATTTGAAAACTCAGATCAGTTGTACTTGACACAGGATTTATTTTCTGGACAATGTATGGAACATAACATTCTGTTCCAATCTGGGCAATGTTCTTGTTTTGCTCTTGTTTTTTCTTTTTAACTTTTTTTAAAGGTTGCCTTAAAAGACAAGTAATCTGCCTAAGTATTTATACTAATGATATTAACTGTAATACATTTTGGAGCAATAAACATTCACTGCAACATGCTCTCTTTTTTCCAGCATGCAGAAATATTCTTCCTTGCGGCCATGATTTCCCCTCAGAATTATTGGATGAGAGTCCCCTCATCTTTATACCAGATATTCCAAAGGTACTTTTCAAAAGACAATTGGACTTTTGGGTTTTTTTTTCCCCTTGAAAATGTTTCACTTCTCATCCAAGAAGCTTCTTCAGATCTAAAGAAGCAGCTTCTTGGATGGGAAATTAAACGTTTTCAAGGAAAAAAAAATCCCAAGAAAGTCCAGTTGCCTTTTGATGAGCATCTTTGGGACAATTATGACCTTGATAATAGAGAATCTCCATAGACGCTTTGTACCAGATGTTTGGAACTCTAGAAAATAAGGTGGCAAGACCCTATTTTCTGTGTGCTGATAGCATTTCAACCTATCTACAAACAGGAGAATCTTTCATTATTTAGGAGTCCAGTGATCAAGAACTGGCTATCTGTTTCTTGCTAAAATTGCAAATTTGTTACCTGTCTTTAGGACTGCTGTTATCTTCAAATTACAAGCAGCTTATTTTAAATACCAGCTACTAAAGAATAACCAAGAAGTTACACTATCTAGTTGGGCTTTGTGTGACAAAGAATACCGGATGCCTATTGGTCTGATTCAGCAGGCTCTTTTTGGGATCTTCTGGTTAGGTCACTCTTTCTTATGGAAGTACAATGTACTTTGACATTATACTTTGTGGTGGTTTTTTTTTTTTTTAATTTATTTATATGCCGCCCTTCTCTGGAGACTCAGGGCGGCTTACAAGGTGTTAAGCAATAGCCTTCATACTTTTGTATATTTTATGCAAAGTCAGCTTATTGCCCCCACAAACTGGGTCCTCATTTTACCTACCTTAGAAAGGATGGAAGGCTGAGTCAACCCTGAGCCTGGTGAGAATTGAACTCGCAATAATTGCAGGCAGCTGGAAGCTAAATACTACCTTTTAACAGTAGCATTAGTCTGCTGCGCCACTCAGGCTCATTGTGGTTGACATTGTGGTGTATTTCAGCATCATCCTTACATTGTTACTCAGGTAGCTGCATTAATCTTGCATTTTTCTGAATTTCTAGCTAATAAAAATTTACCAATGGCTTGTTTTTTGCTCTTCTACAAACTTGGATGTGGGGTGCCAGTGCAGAGATAGTGAATGAATAAAGATATTTATGAATAAAGATATTTTCTGAATAAAGATAGTTTTTTCCTTAGTTGAGTGCTTAGTGCTCTCTGAGCTTGGTTGTTTTCTCGCAAACATTTCATTATCAAACTAGGTAACATCAGTTCATTTTTTTCTTTCTCCTTATATAATCATTTCAGGTCAGATTGGGCCAGTATATGATGGTGCTAATTAAAAGGAAAAGAAACTTCACATTATATTATTAGCTTATAGCCTGACCATGGACTTGACAGTTTTAGGAGCAGCAGTAGACGTCTTTCTCAAATAATTGTAGTTGTCCTCTGGAATGGTGAGCAGAATTTGTGAATATATGATATATGTCAAGATCCTCCAAGAAATATTTTTACGTATTCCACTTTTATAGGAATAGCGTCAATAGTGTTGAACAGTATCCACAGAACCAGTGTTCTAACTACAGCTGTGTTGTGTTCTGTCAAAAATGATGATTTAGTTAAAAAAAAACCAGTTTACTAATCCATCTAACATTGTGATCTCTTTTTGAAAAACTGCTACGTCATCTATTTGCTGCAATGCTCCATGAAGTTTGTTATTATGCTTGAGGTGTTTCTCAAGCAGGAGACATGAAACGACCATAATGTCTTGTGAAGCGTGACATTGTTTTCAAAACACATCATCCCTAACAAACTTTTCTGGAGTGCCTCGATTAATACACAGTGGACTGGAGGTCATGCCAAGTTCAGGGGCTACATCCCTCAGCCAGATAGCCTTTCGTACTGGCAGCAATTTTTCTGCCACTCCCGGAAATGGCAGCCTGAGCAAACCGCACCTCCATTAATTATTTAGCTGCCCAGAGTGCTCTGCTGAAGCTCTTGTGACCTCTCTTAGTCCTTGGGACAGGCTAGAGGGAGGGGGGGGGAAGAGTTGCAGGAGCTGCCTTGCTAGCTTGGTAAACATTTTGGTCTATTTTATGATAGGCCTGCCATTGGCATCTCTCCTTCCACCAGATTACGGAGCAATTTGATCTGAATGAGTGTTTTCATAGTGTAACCCAAATTCTTGGCCTGTACAGTTCTCTCCCAGCTGAACCAGCTCCCCTCTAAGGGGGCAGAATTATTACTATTGTAAATTCCTCTCGGCTGTGATCACAATGACCTTCAAGCCTCTGTTTCAGGGCTGCTCCATATCTCACCATTTATGAGGTGGTCTTGTTCTGGTTACAACACTATTTTATGCATGAATGGCTGCTTGGCAGGTCCTAGCTGCAGTATGTCAAAATAAAAAGGCTCAGATTCTGAATCACACATCCAGGAAGGGAACTTTTAACATTCCTTTTTCTGGCTCCACCCCTTTAATCAGAAGGCTCTTACTTGGAAAGATAAAATAAGTGTGGGGGGGCCTGGAAGAAGCTTTTCTTGGCTGTGTTGGCACAATATGCATGCTCATAGTTAACTGTTTATTAAATTAACACAATTCTCTGGGTTTGACCTGAACTGTACATTTGGCACATACTCAACAGTCACACAAATGGACTAGCTTAAAAAGTGGTTGGCTAATTTATAGCTCATAAAATGCATTCTAGAAAGAGGCTTTGAAAGAAATGAGTTGTCTTTAGTAAGTCAACAGTTACCACCTATGGTAATTGCTGCCAGTTGCTAGGATAGTTCAGTAAAATTACTTCTTTATTCAAGGTCTAAAGTTGAGGAGAAATAGTAAAGGAATGCTTTTGCCCTTGCCCTCTATTTATTCAATTCCCAGAAATGTTTGGCTTAACTAAGGTGAAAAGGTTAGGCAGAGATGAGTGATGTGTCCAAAATTACAATATGAATAGGAGGTATAGATAGAAGTGATAGAAGTCTTCAGCATTCTTCTCAGCAGTAGGAACATCACAGCTGGGGAGAGAGAGAGAGAGAGACCTTCCCTAAAACCATTTTGATTATGCATCTGTGTCTTGATTTTTTAATTGTCTCCAAAAATAGTGGGTTTGGTGCCAGGTTTTTATAGGAACTTTTCAGGTTTTTAATTGCATCTAATTTGGAAGAGTGAGTCATTCCTACCAACAATATATCTCAAGAATGTGACGTGACTCCCTGAAAAGCTGCATGAGTTCCTTGCACTGACAAATGTTTCCCCACTTTTTGGAGAAACAAACAAAATTGTTGACTCTAGGTAGCATTCCACTTTCAAAGTTTGATTGACCATTGTCAAGAGTTATCTAAAGAAGATGCCGTAACTTGAAAGAAACAAAACCAAAAGTACTATAAGCCGTGTGAAAATTTCCTGAACAGCAGGAAACTAACCAAAGCTGCTGGGTTTTCATTATAGCAAATATGTCAGCCATCTTAAATGTGCAATAGCTGTCATGAAAAATCTGTTTATGGGAAGAACTGGCCAAAGAATGTGGGGAGGAAAATCTATTGTGGAGAACAGGACTGGATGTGGAAAAACAATACCCAGCTTGGTATTGGTATGTCCTTCTAATGAGAGTAAAAATACTTTGCCAACTGGCAGATCTCTCTCTCAAGGATTTGCTTCTGTGGAATACTACCTTTAAGCCATTACTACAATTGATACATAATCAGCAGAGCTTCAAGAACAATGGAGATTTCTGAAACTACTGGATGGAGGTTAGTAGCGGTTAACTTTTCTCTGCAGTTGGCTACACCAAGTTGCCAAGACGACGAACATTGCCTTAGGGTCATCTGGGGCTTATCCTGGCTCTCTACAACCAACACATTCTCAAGGCTTCATGAGGCTTATTTGCTGTTATATTCAGCATTATATCCAGACTGTCTATGGGTCAAGGAGTGTTTTATCAGCCCAGTCTCCCTCTGACTGGCGTCTACTTCCAAGTGTGTAACTATGCCATTTTAGGAATCATAGGGGTAAACCGAAGATTAGCACATTTGGATTGCAAAATCACAGAACTGGAAAGAAATTTGGAGGTCATTTAGTGCAACATCTTGCTTTGGTTTAGTTTTTGTTATTACATTCTTTCCATTGTCCTTGTCCTTGTCTTTTTTTTCCCTTTTTTGCGCATTTGGAGACCATACCCAGCAATTCTACTTTCATGAAGAAGTGCATTTTGGTAAGTGCTGGATGAGAAAAACAGTACCAGTACCAAGTGTCCAGTCATCCTGGACATTTATACACTAGAACACTAAAAAACTGGAACATTTCTGAACAACCAGTTCCTTCAAATGCAGTAACAAGCTGCTAATGTGGAATGTTAAGTAACCAATAACTAGCACAGAAATAGTCGAAGCTGCTAGATATTTTTGTGATAGAAGGGTTTTCAGATTGAAAATTTTTACATTTTCTGTCCACAATTTATTTGTAGTTGATCCCTAAGGATTTAGGGAACGAGTTTACTAAATAATCTATGTCATCATCTATTTTATGTTTGGTGTTAAACATTACACTGATTCCTGGAGTCTCTGGAAATATTTAACCAGTTAGGCTATTGTCAAGCCAAACAGAATCCAAGCCAAGCCTTGTTTAATCATTATTTTGTAGAAGCTTGTTGGAGACCTAGGGGAAATTAGGTGAACTGGGAATTGTACATTTATCTTGGCAGTTTTTTCTTTCCGCTCAGGAGCCTTAACTAGAAGGATGACAGGACTGATAAGGAGATTATTTTAAACTATACTGATTCTGTTTTGCTTGCTGAAACCAAGTGTTGATTAAGAACAATAATCCTAGCGAACATCCAGTATCACTGTCCTCTTTCTCAAGATCTGTTTACTCCCATTCTGCTAAACAATTCAGGACATTCCCAGTGGCAGCCTGTGCACTAGGTTGAAATCAGCTCTGGCCTGTTGGGATGCCATGAAATTGGTTATATTTGATAGCTATTGT